TCGTCATGGCGACCAGTCAGGGCCGGGGAGGCGCGTCGAGGTGCCACACGCACATGCGTGTCGGCGCAAAGTGCTGCGAGATGGGTATCCGCGCACAGGGGTACGCTCGACGACCCATTTGCTCTTTCGAGGTCTCGCCGGGGCTCTGCTCCAAGAGCGACCTCGAGAGAGCGTGCGTGTGCCTCTACTCGCCAGGGCGGGCGGACGTTCTTATACGACAAGCGAACATGTGCAAACAAACGACGAACCACTAGCTCTCGCTCAACAGCCCTACAGCGCTGCCTCCTGGCCCAGCTCACGACCTCCCGAGAAGCCGTACTCCGCTGGCGGCTCCGCCGCGACAAGGACGTGCGCCCACAGGTTGGTCTCCATGATGCCGCATTCTTCGCAGAGCACGGGTACCAGCATCTTCTCAAACCAATCGCTCGCGAGCAGCGTGCGGCGTGCTACGCCGCCTGTGTGCTTCTTCAGGGGCCCTACGCGCGGCGTGAGAGCTCGGAAGCGAGCTTTGCACGGCGATCGAGTGTGTGACCGTTTGATTTTATTTTTTATGTTATTCTCGCTCGTGCGTCCTTGTACCTTGAAGTTGTGCCGACCTCCTTTCTCCTCCTGCTCTCCTATCCCACGTGGCTGTGTGTGTTTGGGTTTCTATGTTTGCGATTTGGAGCACTTGGATTTTGGATGTTCACGACTCTTTGTTTATTTATTTCTCGCAGCAGACACAGACTCGACACAGGTGCGGACTGGGGGAGAGATTTTGAAAACCAACAAGAAATCACGACTCTCACAGTGATTTGGGCTCGGCAGCTTGTCAGCCCTCAGCCGAAGCTGGGTGGGGCCGCTGGCCCGTGCTGTGGCACTAACACAGGCAAACCACCGGCCGGAGCCGCCTAAGCGACTCCGGTAAGAACGGCAATGCACTTAGCTTCGTGCACAATGCCGCTCTCCTCGCACGCTAGCTCGTTCATTCACCGGTGCGGCGAAGTCATGAAAAAAGAAAAGCGTGCGAACGACCACAGTCCACTTCGCTGGGCATGCTTGTCGAGGACATCATCGACCTCGGCCTCGTCTCGCACTTCCTCGGCGCCGATCCTGGCGCCGAGGACGTGGTCTCCGCCGCCAGCCACGACGGCGCCTGCACCGCCTTTGCGAGCGGCGAGGTGGTCGTCCTTATGCGGCGCGAGGCGCCGACCTCGCCGACTCTCCTGCGTGCCCCTGGCGAGCACGCGAGCGCGGTGGTCTGCCTGACCGTGCCTGCCGCCGCCGCCGTCGTGGCCGTGGTCGGCTACCGCAGCGGCGCTCTCGCTGTGTGGTCGAGCGACGGCTCGCGGCTGCTCCGGCTGCACCTGCACAACTCGCCGCTCGTGCAGCTGGCGGCGCAGACGCTCGGCGGCTGCGACGCCGACGGCGGCACGCTGCTCTGCCTCTGGGCGGGCGGCGCGCTGTGCCACGTCTGCGCCGCGACGCTCGGCGAGGCTCTCACGAGCCGACTCGCAAGCGGCGGGGAGGGGCGGGGGGGCAGGGTGGCGACCGAGCGGCTGGCCGCGTGCTTCCGCCTGCTCAGCGTCGGGGAGCGGCCGTCGGGCGGCGGCTGGGTCGGCGTGGCGAGCGGCGGGCAGCTCCCCTCTCCGCCCCTCGAGGTTGACGCCGCGCTCAAGGGCGGCCGCGGCGAGGCGGAGAGAGGGAGGGAGCCGCCCTCGCTCGGGCTCACGCTAACGGACGGCGCCTCTCTGCAACTCCACCTCGTCACCGTCGCCACAGCAGAGGCGCCGCCGCCGGCCGCCGCCGACGCGGACGCCGCCGCTGCCGCCACGAAGGTGCAGGCCGCCGCCACGGAGGCGACGTCTGGCCGTGTCGCCGCGGTTGCGCTCGGCTCTTCTCTAGGCTTTGGCGGCCTCTGGGCGAAGGAGGAGCACTCTCGGAGCCTCCA